GTCGACAAAAGAAAAATGCATATTATTGTAATTATTTAAAATGTATTGTTATTAAAGTTTCATACAGCACCCCATTAAGGAGACTCAAGATATGGGCCATAGATTCGTCTTAGAACCTTTCTTTCAAAAGTGTCTAATCTTACTTCCTTTGTACTTCTTAGTGCTGTATTTCTGAACCATATAGGACGATGGGACGTATTAATGTCATATAAATTTTAGTTTTAAAATTTACAGAGATTTTAGCAGGATTCCAGCTCCAAAATAACATTTGTTTTCCAATTGTATTCTTTTTGATATCTTCACTTTTAACTCATTGTCCTGAGTTAAGAGAACGCTTAAGTATTTAAATTGTGATACTTTGCAGAAGATGTGTCCTTCCACTTCCATACTCTCTTCGCGTTGATACATCCTATCCCTTCTACTAAGTTTCATATTTTGGAAAAACCAAAAGAATTAAGTATAAAAGCACTTGGTATAAAAGCAATATAAAAATAAATAATTACATTTCTTCTTAAACCCCAATGCGATACTGAGTGACCCATGATAAATTAATCACCCGGTATATTAATACAATTTTTTTACAAATTCCATTCTAATATGTCATTTTTAGAACTAGAAATTCGTTTTTCAAAGTATCTGATACAAAGAGTATTATGTTTTTTACTAACATTGTACAAGTGTGCAACGCTTTAGCTGTTTGCTGAGTTACATTTTGAATTATTTTCTTCCATTTATTTAGAAGTAGGTAGTCGAAATAAAGCTCGAACCTACTGTTTATGTTTACTTTGACTTTTGGTGTGCCCAAATAGTACTCATTTTACACATTCGTGTTAATAACACAATACATGTGCAGTCGTAGTAGTCGTACAATAATTTATCATTTCTAGTTAACTTTTCGAATTGTTCGGTTCTCAGTGAGTCGTTAAAAGTTCAACGTTATCCGTGAATTAAATTTTCGCGAAAAATTAAAATGCCAGCTCGACGCTTTTTAAACGGTTTGATATTTTTTGTATTATGCAACAGCATGATGTCTGATTGGATTGTAGCGGACCCCGTACACCAGATGTCCAAACTTCTGAGTTATCCGGGATGGCGCGGTTTGTATCCCCTGGAAATCGTCGACCACAGTAGACGGTACAATGTGAACGATTTGCTTGAGGCCGATACCGAAGGTAGGATTATGGTAACAGTCAGTAACGTAGATGCTAAAATCCGACAAGCCTATCATTTCCTGACTTGCTAGTACACTATTGTTTTTCTAACATATCAAGAATATTTATACAAACTTGGCAAAAAATGCAATTTGGTGGACTCTACCGATGATCGGTATTGGCCGCATAAGTTTAGGCAGCTATTCAACCCGTAAATATTAGTACCCCGCATGCAAAGTGTGCTATCGTTTTTCAACTCCTTATCTCCGCAAACCGCGTTGAAACCCGAATTTTTCGATATCCTGGAGAGGTTCGGTGATGGGTATGCTACTTACGAAGCATACAATATAGATCTATTGCCGAAAATAGAAGATATCGCTATCAAATTTTTCGAAAACTCCTGTGGTCCGGCGGGGCATTTAACGGAAACGAAATTCGGCAGTTCCACGTTTAGTTGGGCCCGCGTAATAACTGACCAAATATATCTTAAAACGACCGATAACGTCGATAAAATAGGCGATATATATCCTTTGGTTAAAAACACAATAAACGAGTTCTTAGTTTTGGATTACGCTCTCCTGGGATTCGCGTTCAATACGGAATCAAACGCTACCGTTTTAAATGAAAATCCCGACACGGTAAAACGAGTACAGCAAACAAAAAATATACTGAGTAACCCTGGCTGGCCACGTTATTTGGGTCACTTGAGGATTATTGTAGATAATCAGCAATACGGCGTTGAAAAACTGATCGCCACCAGAGTCGACAAGCATAATATCGACCGTAAAATTCGTCACGTCTACGATCTAGTGAACTGTTACTATGTTGAAACATTAAAAGAGTTATTGTTGTACAACAAGTCTATATTAGAATTCTACCATTCGAGGAAGACACCTAAGCAAAAATATTTCTTTGTTAAATCCTTTGTGCAAACAATCAAAAAAAGCGATCCAGTTATAGTTTACATGAAAGCCGCCATTTCCTATTTTCAACGGTTGTCTCCTCAGACCTCAGACACGTATGCTTCGAAAATTCTAACCTTCTTTAAGAATTTTATTGAAATAACAAATTTCTATGACATAGAATTTTTTAATGAAAATGAGAACGTGTATTATGATATGAAGTTAGATGCAGAAATTACAATTTTCCTAGAGCGTTTGTCAGAAATTGAAATAGAACTAAACAAATACAGTCAGATGTCTTGCATGGTTACGGCTGAGTTCACAAATAATGTTGTTCTCGAAAATTCACAAACAGATATTGAGAAGCAACTCAATGAAAAAATCGACATGTTTATAAATACTGTGTTTCCAAAATTAGGGCTAATGTTTACAGTTAACACTCGACCATTTTCCAAATTCTCTCCACTCAAAAATGTTCCTTTTATATTTCCGTCGGAGCTGTTATCTCCTAATGAAGCAACGGTCCACTATATGTCTTTTCGGTAATGCTACCAGAAGATAAAAAGAAAATGGCACACAGATATTCTACAGTAACTTGTATAGTAAATACAAAAAAAAAAATGCATACAGTATTACTAGTTTTCAAGCCCGATTACAACAAAGAAGTTCAAAAATTCATACTAAAAAAATAACGAATATGTTTAATTAACAACTAAATTTACAGTAATAAAATAATAATTCAATTAGTTCTAAACTGAGTGTAATATAATAATGTACAATATAATATTTTATTGAATACATTTATATGCTTCGGCTATTTAATTTCAACAATAAATTGAGTTTATTTCATTTTTAGCTTCGATGTAATAGCTGAAAAGTTATTTGTTTTGTGATGATGTGATTTTTGGATCTGAACTTTTTTCCTAAGCAGAGCCGGCGCTAGGGGAGGACAAATGGGAATATTTTCAGACCTCAAGCCCTAAAACCTCACCTTAAGAAGTGTAATAAAGAAAGAGTTTCCATTGCTTCTAGGGAAAATAGTTTATGATGTTTGTTTGGTTTGTCCACGTTTAACGGTAATTTTAATTGAACACTTTTGTACATTAATATATAAAATAGTTATTCTCTATAATTATTAAAACATTAGGGTTTCATAGTCATGCTGGAAAATGGATCAAACATTTGAATAGGTGCCTACACAAACAGAATAAAAGTTCTTAAAAAATCATTAAAAATCATTAAAAATGTTTTGAACAGCTATGGTCTATGTGTAGATGTAAAAATAATAAAAAAAACCTACAAAAACAACTGAATATTTTACTCAAAAACTTAAGCTAACCTTTTCAACTAAGCGATTAGCTAATATTATGAAAAATATCAAACTGTGTTTTTATGATTCACACCTAGATTATAAAAAAAGCCAATACAGTAGGGTTCGGTCATAGGGTGACGGAATTTATTTTTAAACAATTTAAATTCCAAAAGCATTAAATGTTTGTAAGCTAATGCATAAGTTGCTGCTATGAACTCTAAGGACTTGTTTTATTTTCAATATATTTATATAGTATACAGGTTTTTATAATTTATAGTATACTACAAATGGACAGCGAATCCGTTTAGAAACCACCACCTCAAGATCATAACGTTAGGCCTTAAAATACCGTTAAGCTTGATGATGATAGTATACTACAAACATTGTTTACAAATTTTAAGGTACTACATACAAAATTATTATACGTTTTGGGATAACTTTTATACATATGCATGCCATTATTGCCAAAAACATACGTAGTTTTACACAGTATTCAACATTAACTGTATTTACTATGAAAACACATATTCTAATATTCCTATAATACAAAATGAATATGACTAAATGGGGTTTTCTATTACAAGTGGCTTATGTAAATGTTATATTTCGTTGTATTTAATAACAACTAGAGCATTAATAGCGTTTTTCTATTAAACTTGTTTAAACAAACACAAAAAAAAAAACGTGTCGATGCAAAGTTATCTCACGTCTTAGGATATCTGCATATTTTGTACTTGACTACATTTATAATGTACTTTATGACAACACTAATATAAGTCGAGAACGAAACATAATAATCATAATACCTTGTCGTAGTGGGGGGGCTCACGAGCTCCTATTTGAGTCTATGCTAAACAGTCTTAGTTATTAGAGTTGGCCCTTACATTAGTTAGTCGGGGTCGGCAGGTTTGGTCTACCTGCTAGCACATTGCCAGCGGATCAGGACAAGAAGACTCCTTAAAAACCCAACCTCGAGAAGGACACTCTAAGAGACACAGAATACATGTTTACACTTTAAAGTACTGGATAACCCTACATTTGATGTTTCTCATCATTTTAGATTTATTACTGTATAAATTATCGTTTAAGTTGAAATTAAGTTGTAATTACTATATAAATTATCATTTAAGTTGAAATTAAGCTGTAATTACTATATAAATTATCATAAAAGTTGTAAGAAAATGCATAAAAGTGTAATGATGGAAACGGGTTTGAACCTGGTACCGCTCATATCTGAGCACGGTTCACGCCCAAACACACCACGCATAATTTTTGCTGGCGGGTGAGTATTAAGTCTTTTTAAATTGCAAGATTCCACCCGGAACGACGGACAAGAAATCGACCCCATTTTAACCCCCTTAGGGGCGGAGTTTTCAACCTCTTGTGGATTAATAATGCATTGTCATCGAATTGTGAGCTACCCCGAAAGTTTCAGCCGGATATCTAATCGGGAAGTGCTCGAAATTTGAGTTGTAAGATTCCAACCGGAACGACAAACAAGATTGTGAGTTCATAAAAACGTTATAATAAAAAAAAAAAAAAAAAAACGTTATAAAAAATTATACCAATTATGGTGAAAACAAATAGTTGGAATAGATTAGATTATAAAATACAAATTTATATATTCGATGAATATTATTTTTATTGGTAGACAGTGTTATATAACATACATAATATAATTTATATGATACGTAACGAAATATGTTATTTGTAATATATTGTTATTAGAGAAATCGGAAGGTTGAAACACAATAAATTTATGATAAACAAAGATGAACATTTCACAATATACACATATTAGTAAGCATATGTATTTTTAGAATGTGACACATATCTTGGATACTTCACCTTTGTTGTTAGTCGTCGTCGTCGTCTAAAAAAAATATTTAAATATTTTGTAAATCGTTTATTTATAATTAGCATACATATTAATTTCAATTCAAATTAAGTTAGGCTCCTTTATAAATGTATTATGTATAAGGTGTTTCCATTTTTAAAAAAATTTTAGGATTTACTAGTATCCATTTTTTTAATTTCGAAACAATTGTCATTTTAAACATCAAACTTTATGTATAAAATAATCGTTTATAAAACAATTTTAAATTTAATAATTTAACATTTTCAGCTTTATTAAAAATTATTTTAAAGCTGCTAGTATCTTTGTAAAGCACACAGACTTATATTATCGTCCTAACTTACAGTCATTTAAAAACTGAATGATAAAATTGCGTATTGAATTACAATTTTACAACCTATATAAGTTTTAGTAAAGTCAAAAAATTACTTTGTGGATCTGGTGGTAGTTGTGGTGCTGGTACTTGAGCTGAAACACAGAAAAAATAACTTAAATACTTGTTTTTCCATTTTTAGTTGTTTATCTAAAGCGTTTTATTTTGCTAGCCACAAATTATAATTTTTATACATTTTTTCAACTAGACATACAATTTTATATAATAATATGCTTATGGACATGATAAACTTATTTGTATTGTAAACAATGTAATGCATTAGTAACATTTTATACATATTTTCAGCTTTTTTGAAAATAATTTTAAAACTGTTAGTATCTTCGCAATACACAAAATTTGATATTATCATCCAACTAAAAGTTATTTCAAAAATGAATAATGAAAATGTATAATCAATTTCACTTTTGAAATTTATATATTTTACAGCAGTCTCAAAAACTTACGGTAATGAGGTGGTATTACCCCAGTAGGATGAGCTGAAATATCAAAAAAAATTACTTTAATGTTTTATTCATCCCAATGCATTATATGGCTCATTGTTCTAGGGCTAAGTACACAGTTGTTTTAATATGTATTCGTTTTAAATGGATTTTTAGGTCGATATTTTTTTACACTCATAAAAAATAAATATTAAATTTGCAAAAAAAAACGTCAATTCAACTACAAAAAAAAAATGCAGAAAATTGGTAATTTTTATTTGTTTTCGAGCGTGATTTAATTGAAATACATTTTCGTAAAAAATAAATCAGTAGGTAAAAATGATTAGAAATTGGTATTTTTTTAGAAACAAATGTATGGTCAAAATATTGCATTGGTCGTTAAAGTATTTTTAGTTTTTTTCTTGACACTTTTTAACATTTTATACACATTTCCGCTTTATTGAAAATAATTAAAAAACAGATAGTATCAGTGCAAAGCACAAAAACTGATATTATCTTCCAACTTACAATTATTTAAAAAACGAAGAATAAAAATGTATATTTAATTTTACTTTTTAATTTTATATAAGTTATAGCAGTGTCAAAGACTTACAGCCAGGGGCAGGAGGAGCTGAAATATCTAAAACAAAATTACTTAAATATTTTATTTATCCTAATGCATCATATGGCTCATGGTTCTAAGGCTAAGTATACAGTTGTTTTAATATGTATTCGTTTTAAATGGATTTTTAGGTAGATATTTTTCTACATTCATAAAATAAAAACTAAGTTTGCAAGAAAACACGTCAATTCAACTACAATTACATTATATTGGCCTTGGTCGTTTAAGTAGATTTTTTTTTTCTTAAAAATTGTTTTTATCATTTTTTTTTTAGTATCTTTGGCCATCAAAAAAAAAAAATTAGTACAAATCAGATTTTTGTGAAAAATAATGTCAGTTTTCTGAAAAAAATATTAATTTTTTTTCGCGTAACAGAAAGTCATTAAAATCGTGTTTATTATCTAAGAAGTTAAAATTTTTGTAGCGCCCGAAAATTAAGAATTATTCTAATATTTTCATCAGAAAGCTGAGGAAATTTTACATAAAGTGTACATAGTTTCAAATTGGGATCTCCATAAAAACGCTTAGAAAACAAAATGAAATGAGGTATAAAAAAGGTAAAATTTCATAGATAAGTCGAAAAATCTGGTAAAAACGACAAACAGTATTCGAAATAAGTGAAATAATTTTGTTGGCCGAAGATACTACAAAAAATAAAAAATATTTTACCAATTTTGTATAAATTAATTTTATTTTATATTTAAAAAAAATTGTTATACCTTCTGCAGGTGGATTTGAAGGTGGAGGATCATCTTTACCCGCATACACGGACACCACTATGCAAAATATGGTGGTTACCATACAAATTAAGCTTATCAAATTCATTTTATTCAAATAGTTATAATTATTAACATAAAGAATGTAGAATACCATACTAAAGCAGCAGTACGTTTGCTGCTTACATTATATAGAGAGATATGTTTGTATTATTTTGTAGGCGAAGGGATTGTACATATTTAATTGGTTTATGTATTGTTATTGTGTATGTGTTCATTGTTTGTTAAATATGTTTGGCCGAATGAAGTACAATTTGAGTACTATTGTTACGAATAAAACGTGTAAACAACACACAAAATTTATGTTTTTTGGTTCTAGAACCTAGTTTAAAATACCGCCAGACATTTTGTATGCTTTTAGCAACTTGTTTTTTTAGTTTTGCAGCAAAGTGATTTATGACATATGAGTAATATTTTTCACACTAGTGGTGTAAAATGTATAGGTTACACCGAAACAGTTAAATTAAAAAACCTACAGTTAAGTTAGTATCACAAACATAATAGACTAGATTTTATTAACAAAATCTATTCAATGTCCGAAATAATGAAATTTATTGATATTGCCGTGTTGTTTTAACATATTGTTTAACAATGCAAGTTTATTTTATCATAATGCACTAAAGACTCAGGTTTCATATACATTTTTAAAACAATTTAAGCCCGGCATTTTCTTTATTATAGTTTGATATCGATACACCAAACACTTCTTCTTAGTCCATACATTACCACAACTTTTTAAGAATAACAATTTTACAATTTTTGAATACTGCGTGCAATAATGTTGTAAAAAATAATTAGAACAGTTCTAAATACAGATTTACATAGTCTTGAACCCAGAAAAAACCATTCACCATTTTACCCATTGTATTTATTTAGCACAGTAACTGTATGAAAACAATTTTTTTTTAGTTTCTGATGAAGCATAGGGTTTGCATTATAGACCATTAAAGGTCCTTCATAGAAATTCTTAGTTAAGTAGAAAATTTAAATTAAAGAAATTGTCATTATAAGAGACTGAACTGCAGTGTTAAGGACTAAACAAATACATGTTGAACTAAAAAGTTAGGGACACATAGTTTACAGGGTGAAATGAGGAAATGATTGAAGTATTCAAAAAACTATAATTGATTCTGAAAACTAGAGTACTTGATTAACTGAATATTGTCAGGTGTTGATTTTTTAGAATGAAGTCAAACATCTAGGACATATTTAAAATACAAAACCAAGGTGTGGGACATTGTGAAGGACTGAAAATTCAACCATTTAAATTTTTTTTTTATTAGAAGTAGATAGTTTAAGCACCTTAATTTTGATAAAAAACGTTGTTCCGGAACTATTTTACGTAAACAGTAAATAAATTTCCTAAAAATCAAAAAACAAGTCTAGTAAAAGTTTGCGGACCTAAAATTCCTTGGTTTCAGAGTCAAAATATACAGTTATTTGTTGTGCGTTATTATTTTATTAAATATACATCTAGGACACAGCTGTTCAATAAATTGATTACTGTTTGTGTAGGCACCTTTATGGTATGAGTCAGACTGTTATCCAAAAAATTATATTTTTTGTTTTGAGTCATAGATTGTTATACAAAAAAATGTATTTGTAAAATAAGCCTGTGGTATACTACACTAAATCTAACATTTTCAAACTACATATTTTCTTCTATAAATGCCAAACCATATCAACGTGGGTGGAGGGGTATAAAGTTGGGATGGCACAGAGTCTAGTGAGCCAAAAATGAAACAGACTCTAAGAAAAATAAACACTTAAACAAAGAAATTAAATAATTACTAATTAATAATTTTTATTCCCACCTACCTTTGAAACAAGATGGTTTATTAAAAAACTTTATAATTTTTTCTGTTTGTTTAATTTTTTTACAACTACCAATATAACGCGCCCAATCATTGTTTTCAAACTTCTATTTCTTTTTCTACAAACTTTTATAACATATTTTAGTTATTTTTAAAAAAAAATGTTTGCTACTAACCAACCCTTAAAAAAAGATTGTGCGGATTGCCAATACTATACCCCCATTCCATTTTCCTTCCATTATTAATTATGTTGTTTCAGTTTGAAGTTATTTATACTCTATTTTGTAATTTATGAATTTTACCGTACATCGTTGTATTGATTAGGACAGTGAGATCTAACATAACAAAATATACCAAAATTCCTTTCCCCTAGAAGTGTTAGAAACTGTTTCTTCATTTATAATTTTAAGCGTAGTTTAAGACTTAATCTCTGTAAAATTAAATTGAGTTTTGATATAGTGTCGCTCTAAAATATATAAGATTTTCTCAAAATTATTTATTATTTTTTATTAATTGATTGATATTTGTTATTCATTATAAATGCGACTATGATAATTGTATATACTTATTTATTATTATTTAATAAATTTATTTGTTTTTGTTAACAGTAATGGATATGAGTATTGTGTGTGTATGTAGAAAAAGAAATAGAAGTTTAAAATCAATGATTGGGCGCGTTATATTGGTAGTTGTAAAAAAATTAAACAAACAGAAAAAATTATAAAGTTTTTTAATAAACCATCTTGTTTCAAAGGTAGGTGGGAATAAAAATTATTAATTAGTAATTATTTAATTTCTTTGTTTAAGTGTTTATTTTTCTTAGAGTCTGTTTCATTTTTGGCTCACTAGACTCTGCGCCTTCCCAACTATATACCCCTCCGCCCACGTTGGTATGGTTTGGCATTTATATAAGAAAACATGTAGTTTGAAAATGTTAGATTTAGTGTAGTATAGCACAGGCTTTGTTTTACAAATACATTTTTCAGATAACAGTCTGACTCATACCAAAAAGGTGCCTACACAAACACCGCACCAAATATGCTAAAAATTACACTTGTTTTCGACAATAACAAATGGAATCGTAATCAATTTATTAAACAGCTGCGTCCAAGATATATATTTAATAAAATAATAACGCACAACAAACAACTGTATATTTTGACTCTGAAACCAAGGAATTTTAGGTCCGCAAACTTTTACTAGACTTGTTTTTTTGATTTTTAGGAAATTTATTTACTGTTTACGTAAAATAGTTCCGGAACAACGTTTTTTATCAAAATTAAGGTGCTTAAACTATCTACTTCTAATAAAAAAAAAATTTAAATGGTTGAATTTTCAGTCCTTCACAATGTCCCACACCTTGGTTTTGTATTTTAAATATGTCCTAGATGTTTGACTTCATTCTAAAAATCAACACCTGACAATATTCAGTTAAGCAGGTACTCTAGTTTTCAGAATCAATTATATTTTTTTGAATACTTCAATCATTTCCTCATTTCACCCTGTAAACTATGTGTCCCTAACTTTTTAGTTCAGGATCTCATATTTTTCTTAAAGTGGCACCAATTCAAAGCTTTTACTTCAAATTTCGTTTTTGAGAGATAACCAAATTGCTTGAATGTCAACATAAAAGTAACATTGACCACATTTGGCTTATCTCATTTCTGGAAGATTATTAGGCAATGTAATATTGAGAAAAACGCAGTCCGCCAAATTCGTCATTCTGGCCCTCACAAAGCTGTATTTTTTAACTGCAAGTGTCTTTTCTTTTATTGTTTTTTTCATAATAAGTGCCTTTATAATCTATAAGTGTTACAAAAATATGGCTTTTTTTCAACCAGTAGTTAATGTTTTTGGGGGCGATTTTCAGTCCCTCGTTTTTTCCAAAAAATATTATTATGAGGGACTGAAATTTTACATTTAGTTTTATAAAAGTTCAATGTGTTAACCTACTATATTATGTCAATAATAGTATTATAATGTTATCTATTAAGTTGTTAATTATAACCATTTGTTTGTTTATTTGATTATTTCTTTAGTTTTTAGCACTGCAGTTCAGTCTCGTATAATGGCAATTTAAATTTTCTACTTAACTAAGAATTTCTTTGAAGGAACTTTAATGGTCTTGAATGTGAACCCTATGCTTGATCAGAAACCAAAAAAAAAATTGGTAAAAAATTAACTTTTTTAAAAGTAAAAAAATAAATGTAAAAATTCCTTAGTTTCAGAGAATCGCCCATATACCTTTTAAACTAAGCAATAGACTAATACTATAAAAACCAAAATGTGTTTTTATGATTCACACCGAAACCAAAATGTGGTAACCTAACCACACACACTCAAACACAGTGTGAGTGTGTGTCTTCAATATTTTATTTACGCAGTTAAGACAATACAATTTACGTACAATTAAATTAAATGTAGCATTAAGTAATAATTTAAAATTTTTACACAAAGACAATTTACTAGCATGATATTGCATCCTAATGTACAAAATAGTTATTCGCAATAGTTATTATTGGAACATCGGGATCATTGACAAATCCAACTCATTTGCCGATTACTTCTACGGAGAATGACATAAGCCCTCCTATCAACTATCTAAAATAAATCAACAAATTATTAGTTAGCCCCATACCCATGATTTTTCCCTTCAAACATTTTTCTCCAAATGAAGTCAAATACGCAATTAGCAAATCAAAGAACAGTAAAACTTCAGGTCACAAACAAATAATTATTGACATATTAACAAATGATATTTGGCAGGTGACTTAAAAAGTCACCTGGTTTGACCAACTCAATGCCATTTAACCAAAAGACAGCTGAAAATGGTCAAGAAATTGTTGACTTATTTAGTCAATACTTTTCTTCAGTATATAAAGATACAGTTCCTACAAATAATATGTTCAGTCTAATATAGTTCAATCTATTAATCCGTTAAATGCACTTCATATTGAACTCTTTGAAGTTTTCAACGAATTGGATATTTTCTCATTTAAAAACGCTATTGGTCCTGATGGTCTCTTTCTTATATATTTATTTAACTCAGATTTATACTTTCTCCACCTATCACATATTTCTTCAATATTTATTTAAATATTGGCTCATTCCCATCACTTTAGAAATCCACCTATATTAACCCAATTCTTAAAAAAGGTAATAAATCATTAATTTCAAACTACCGTCCTATATCAATAATTTTTATCCTCCCAAAAGTATTTTTTAAAATAATAAATATTAAACTAACACCTATATTTAAAAATATTTTAGCA